TGATCAGCCCTGCTCTGTGCCTGATAGGGGGGAGCGACCTTTACCCCCTGATCGCCCTGTGGCTCTGTGTGTGACAGGGTAGAGCCATAACCTCCCCATTGGCCCTGCCCTGAGTGTGACAGGGTGCAGCGCCCCAACCCCCTGATCCGCCCTGCTCTGTGTGTGACAGGGGGCGGTGCCCCAACTCCCCTATCGGCCCTACTCTGTGAGTGACAGGGGGGAGCTCCTCAACCCCCTGATCGGCCCTGCTCTGTGCATGACAGGGGGGAGCTCCTCAACCCCCTGATGGGCCCTGCTCTGTGCGTGACAGGGGGGAGCTCCCCAACCCCCTGATCGGCCCTGCTCTGTGCGTGACAGGGGGTGGCGCCGCAACCTCCCCATTGACCCTGCCTTGGGTGTGACAGGGGGCGGTGCCCCAACCCCCCAATCGGCCCTACCCTGAGCATGACTGAGGGGTGGCATCGCAACCTCCCGATCCGCCCTGCTCTGTGCATGAGGGGGCGGTGCCCAAACTCCCCAATCGGCCCTGCTCTGAGCCTGACCAGGGGCTGCACCTAGGGATTGGGCGTGCCCTCTGCCACCCGGGAGCAGGCCTAAGCCAGCAGGTCGTTATCTCCCAAGGGGTCCCAGACTGCGAGAGGGCACAGGCCGGGCTGGGGGACCCCCCTCCCCCCCCAAGTGCACAAATTTTTGTGCACCGGGCCTCTAGTTTATGGATAATAAAGACCATTATAAACTGATGAACAAAAATAGATACAGAGGTCCGCGCCCCACTGATTCTGGTCCCGGAGTGTCGCCCGGCGCACGGGCTAGCGAGCTGCCCCTGCCGCCCTCTTTCTTCGTTAGCTCCTCTCCTTCTCGCTCAGCTTGCCGGGAGCATGAAAAAAGAAGACCAGGGGAAGCTCCGAACCCCTTCTGCTCCTGCCCATTGCAAGTGCAACTACCGCCATGGGCCTCACCATCTCCTCCCTCTTCTCCCGCCTCTTCGGCAAGAAGCAGATGCGCATTTTGATAGTTGGATTAGATGCTGCTGGCAAGACGACCATTCTGAATAAACTGAAGTTAGGGGAGATAATCACCACAATTCCTACCATTGGTTTTAATGTGGAAACAGTAGAATATAAGAACATTTGTTTCACAGTATGGGATGTTGGTGGTCAAGATCAAATAAGGCCTCTCTGGAGGCATTACTTCCAGAACACCCAGGGTCTTATTTTTGTGGTAGATAGCAATGATCGTGAAAGAATTCAGGAAGGAGCTGAAGAGCTGCAAAAAATGCTTCAGGAAGATGAGTTGCAAGATGCAGTGTTGCTGCTTTTTGCAAATAAACAGGATTTGCCAAATGCTGTGGCCATCAGTGAAATGACAGATAAATTAGGCCTTCAGTCTCTTCGTAACAGAACATGGCATGTTCAAGCCACTTGTGCTACACAAGGAACTGGCCTGTATGAGGGACTTAACTGGCTGTCAAATGAGCTTTCAAAACGTTAAATGCCCTACCTGGTTTGGCTCAGTGGATAGAGCGTCGGCCTGTGGACTCAAGGGTCCCAGGTTCGATTCCGGTCAAGAGCATGTACCTTGGTTGTGGGCACATCCCCAGTAGGGAGTGTGCAGGAGGCAGCTGATCGATGTTTCTAACTCTCTATCCCTCTCCCTTCCTCTCTGTAAAAAATCAATAAAATATTTTTAAAAAAAACTTTAAATGAAACTGGGTATCTAATCAAGGACATGTTGGATAGAATTTGTCTAGGCTTGTTACAACAAAATTAGTTTATATCTTGGTTATTAAACAGTATCTGGGACTGGTTTGGGCAGAATATTACAGCGTTTAAACTTATTTTGTTGCCAATTATTGTTTACCAAGTATAAATGTTGCACTTTAGCAATATGCTTGGTTTTAAAGAAATTATCTTTAACTTGGGGGAAAAAAGTGTTCTCTTTTAATTTTACTTCCCTTAAGCCTAAATGCCTGAACTTGAGCTATTGCGACACCTTTAAATAAATCCGTTTTGAATGTTTTTTGAGCCCACAAAAAATAATGTTTTAAAGTTATCCCCTTGCTACTTTACTGATACCTTTATCATTCCTGGGACAGTCTGCTGATTTAAAAATAAAATGTAGCATTCCATTTGTATTTATTTTCCTCCCTTGCCAAAAAGATTTTCTAATACTGCTTGTACCAGCCAGGGACATGCTCCAAAACACTACTGAGAGCTCTTGCACTGAGGAATTTATTACTCCTCCCTTCTCTCCCCCCGATTATGACTCCTGGCTTCCATCAGCCAAGCTTACCTTGGTGTGGTTTGGATTCAATAGCTCATTAGTTCTATGCTGGTAGCAAAGAGTTCAGATGGAGATGATTTTTAATACCCAGCAGATTGTCTTTTTTTTTTTTTTTTAAATATATTTTATTGATTTTTTACAGAGAGGAAGGGAGAGAGATAGAGAGTTAGAAACATCGATGAGAGAGAAACATCGATCAGCTGCCTCCTGCACATCTCCCACTGGGGATGTGGCCGCAACCCAGGTACATGCCCTTGACCGGAATCGAACCCGGGACCTTTCAGTCCACAGGCCGACGCTCTATCCACTGAGCCAAACCGGTTTCGGCAGATTGTCTTTCTTTATATTGTATCTCTTTTATGTTGCATGTTGCTTTTGGTATCAGCCTCTTTGCCCAGTATATGATAGTTCTGCTGATGTTTTATTGTTTATTGGTGAACATATCTTCATTAAGAGTTTTTGGAAAACTCATCAAACTCAAATGACTAAGTTTTCTTCATAACCCATTTGGAATTATTCCTAATAAAATGATAAAATATAAAAAAAAAATAGATACAGAGGCAGAGCAGCATGGAACAGACTGTCAAACTGCAGCGGGAAGGCTGGGGAGGGTTGGGGGAGCAGGGGATAAGAGATCAACCGAAGGACTTGTATGCATGCATATAAGCATAACCAATGGACATAAGAAACTGGGGCATAGGGGAGGCCAGGGGAAGGTCAAGGAAAAAAAAAAAGGAGACATGTGTACTACTCTTTGTAATACTTTAAGCAATAAAACAAAATTAGAAAGAAAAAGGACCAGTCAGAAATTAAACATACACTAACTGAAATAAAGAATTTACAGGGATTCAATAGTAGCATAGAGGATTCCAGAATCAAATTAATGATTTGGAATATCAGTCAGAAGAGCAAAAAGGAAAAAGAATCAAAAAATATGAAAAGAGTGTAAGGAGCCTCTGGGACAACTTCAAGTGTCCCAATATTCACATTATGGGGGTGCCAAAGAAGAGAGAGCAAGATATTGAAAACCTATTTGAATAAATAATGACAGTAAACTTCCCCTACCTGGTGAAAGAAATAGACTTACAAGTCCAGGAAGCTCAGAGAACCCCAAACAAGAGAAACCCAAAGAGGCCCACACCAAGACACATCATAATTAAAATGTCAAGGGTTAAAAGACGAAGAGAGAATCTTAAAAGCATCAAGAGAAAAGCAGTTACCTATAAGGGAGCGCCCATACAACTGTCATCTGATTTCTCAACACAAAGTACGCAGGCCAGAAGGGAGTGGCAAGAAATATTCAAAGTGATGAATGCCAAGAACCTACAACCAAGATTACTTTATCCAGTAAAGCTATCATTCAGAATTGAAGGTCAGATAAAGAGCTTCACTGATAAGAAAAAGCTAAAGGAGTTCACCACCACCAAACCAGAATAACATGAAATGTTGAAGGGTATTCTTTAAGAAGAGGAGGAGGAGAAGGAGGAGGAACAAGAGGAGGAGGAGGAGAAGGAGGAAGAGAAAGTAGAGGAGGAGGGGGAGGGGGAAGAGGAGAAGGAGAAAAAAGATGAACAATAAAATGGCAATAAATACAGATCTATCAACAATTGTATCAAAAAATCAAAATAACGTACAAGAAATCTAATGAACAAAATAAACTGATGAATAAAATGGAAACATGGAACAGACTGACGAATCTCAGAGGGAAGGGGGAGAAGGGACGGGGAGAGATTAACCTAAAATCTTATATGCTTATATGCATCACCTATGGACACGGGGGCAGGAACTGGGTAGAAGGAGGGGCAATGGGGGGCGGGAAGAGGGACATCTGCAATCCTCTCCACAAATCTTTAAAATAAAGATTAAAAAATAAAACATGCAGACTAGAGCAAGAATAAGGAAGTTAGCAGAACAAAGCAGCCGCTTGGGCGTTGCAAGGCCACGTTCCTTCAGGGGAAGGCAAAGGTCCATGGCAGCTGACCTACCTAGTGCTCATCTGGAGATTCCTGATGGACTAGTTTAAGATTCCACTCCCGGGAGAGACGAACTGTCATGAAGTCTCAGTGCGGAGACAGGAGGCTTAGCCTAATTGACTCCTTCTGGGGCCCTGTCCTGTTTCTAACATCCCTGTCCGAGAAATCAGAGCTGTACAGTGCCTTCCCCACTGCCTCCTCCTTCCCAGCTAGGAGTGGCTTGAAGTCCAGCTTCCTACAGAGATCACAGGGAAATAAATGCCTGGGCACCGCCGCTCCAGCTCCAAACCCATCGCACTCCACGGTTTCCGGGGGAACGAGCACTTCCCAAAACTAAGAAGTACGGACCGCAAGAAGCCCCCATTCACCACCTGCCAAGAACTGCCCGGAGACTTTTACGTATACTCTCGTTTAATACTCAAACCGCTGCATTAAGATAGTCATGTCATCCCAACTTCACAGAAAGACGTCGGAGACAGAGGTGTAGGTAATTCGTTCAATGTTCTGCCTCGGGAAACCGCAGAGCGGGTGGACGGGTGCGCGGCCCGGGGAGGCGGAAAGCGCTGGAGACACCGGACCCGACCGCCCCAGACGCGGACGCGCCCCGCCGAGGGGAATGCCTGCCACCCGAGCCCTGACACCCCCGCTTTCGGATACAACCTCTTCCTCCCAAACCGGTGGCCGGCCGGGTTATACCGGGACCCAGAGAAGTTCGGGAGGTTGGGCAAACACGGAGCCCACTTACCACAGAGCAGGGAGCGCAGACGGTCACCTGGGCGCCCAGGGAGGAAGCGCAACGCTGGAAATACACTTCCCAGAATTCCCCTGCCCCGGCGGCGCCCAGGCGGAAGTGTCCGCGACTCTGCGGGACCTGTGGACTACACTTCCCAGAAAGCCAGGGGACTCGGTCCGCAGTCTCGCCCGCCTCAAGCGGAAGTGCTCGGTACCCTACGGAGAGGGACCACCAGGACCACGGAAGTCGTGGGAACAAAGTTCGCCCCGTCGCCCCCACGGCGGTAACGTGGAAAACGACACTGAGGGCTGGTGTTTCCCTCTCCTGAATCCACGAGCAGAAATTTTTGATAGGCATGACTAAAGGTCTTCAATGATTACAGTGTTGTTGGAAAAGTGAACAATGAGCCACGAAATTAAAAATTAATCTCAAACTAGGAAATGTTCAATTTAGGGGCAGTAGGGAGAAGAAAGGAGGAGGGTAACCTTGAGTGTAATCTTAACTGTACGAGAATTAAAGCGGGGTGTTTGAAGAATGGGCGAGGGAGAATGGTTTTGGAGAGGCAATGATGTGCGAAGAAGGTGTGGACGAAAGGGGCCACATGCTGACCTGACAAGCTCAGGGGAGGCCTGCATGGCGGTCTTGCAAACTCAGAGACCTAAAGTCACCACAAAGGATGGTCTGAAATTAAACTTTAACCAAAGCAGTTATGGTGGGCAGTTACGTCCTAGGCCGGTATCTTCACTGACAAGGTCAACCTTTACCTTCACTGAGCCTGTCTTTTTGCATCTATGATAACACACCCTTGAAATGTTTGGGTAACTTGTAACTTCCCTTTTTCTGGAGCCCCTGAGGCACAACCAAATATGCTGGGTGCCAGGACAGATACCATAAATTCCTTCATTGTCATGTTAATTGATCCTGCACCCACCTAAGTATGTGTCCATCATTTTACTTTTTATCCAATCCCAGGGGTTTCCCTGCTTTGCTTTATCCCTCCTCAATCTATCACCAATGAATTTCATGTAACCCACCTACGTCCCTCCTTTGATTGCAATGTATATATACAAATGTAACCCTGCCATTCTCCGGAGCATTATCTCAATTCCTTGAGGTTTTGCTTCCCAGCATATGTCGACAATTTGGCTCAAATAAACTCACAAAAATTCTTTACAGGTTTCAATGTTTGTTTTTTTTATGTTAACAAAGGTATTAACCTCTATTCTTTAATATATATATATATATATATATATATATATATATATATATATATTGATTTCAGAGAGGAAGGGATTGAGAGAAACATCAACGATGAGAGAGAATCATTGACTGGCTGTGTCCTGCACACCCCCTACTGGGGATGGAGCCCACAACCCGTGCATGTGCCCTTGGCCGGAATCAAACCCGGGACCCTTCATTCTGCAGCCTGACACTCTATCCACTGAGCCAAACCGGCCAGGGCTAACCTCTATCTTTGACATAGTGGTACCAGTGGTTTGGTAGGTTATAATGCTACAATCAGGAATCACATGTAAAGTTATTAAATACTATTGGTCATAATTAAATTGATTAAATTAACTTGAGATAGCACTACATTCTCACAAGAAAAGCTAAAAGACAACAAACAAACAAACAAACAAACAAACAACTTAGCAAAATGCCAAGACTGTCATACTATGGATGAAAAGGGACCACATGCTAACCTGACAAGCTCAGAGAAGCCTGCCTGGGGGGTCTTGCAAATTCAGAGACCAAAAGTAACCACCAAGGATGGTCTGAAATGGACACTTTTGGTCATGTCCTAGGCCGGCATCTTCCCTGACAAAGGTCAATCTTTACCTTAACTGAGCCTGTCTATTGTCTTTTTGCATCTACAATAACATATCTTTGAATGTCAAAGTAATTTTCCTTTTTCCGGACCCCTCAAAGCACAGGCACCGCTCTTATGAGACCACAAATTCCCTCATTGATATTGAGTTCATTGTTGATTGTTAAAGAAGTAGGTGTCTATCATTTTACTTTTTATCCAATCCCAGAAGTTCCCCGCCTTGCTTTCTCCTGCCTCCCCAATCTATCACCAATGGATTTCATGTAACTCATGTAGGTCTCATCTTTTGATTGTAATGTATAAAATAAAGTGCAAAACTGCCATTCTCTGCAGCATTATCTCAATCTGTTGAGATTTTGCTTCCTGGCATTTGTTGACATTTTGGCTCAAATTCACAAAAATTTTTCACAGGTTTGAATGTTTCTTATATTGACAATACTGTTCTTTGTAGTGTAAGTTGGTACAACCGCTTTGGAATATTTTTTTTTAATTACTGATTTCAGAGAGGAAAAGAGGGAGAGAGAGAGAGAAACATCAGTGATGAGAGAGAATCATTGACTGGCTGTCTCCTGCATACCCCACACTGGGGATCAATCCTGCAACCCAGGCATGTGCCCTGACCAGGAATCAAACTGTGACCTCCTGGTTCATAGGTCAAAGCTCAACCACTGAGCCATGTTGGCTGAGCCACTTTGGAACATTTTTGAAGGGAAAGCTACTAAAGCTAAAGATATTCATATGCCATAACCCCTTGGTTCAAACTATACACATGTTTCTCAAATTAATATATCCTTACATTCAGCCAAAGATGTTTCCCAGTATGCTCAGGCCAGAACTGCTTTTAAGAACCAACCGTGCAACTACCCAATGATCATCTATAATAAAATGGATTATTGGTAAATTTACACATTGTAGAAATATCCACCAATGAGAGTGAATAAAATTCATCTAGTCCCCAAATTTGAATTTCATAAACATAATGTTGAGAAAATAAAGTTTGACATAAAATATTAAGTACTGTATGATTTCTTTTCTGGAAAATACAAAAACAAACTCAGCAAATCTATCATGTTATAAGTTAGTAAAAGGGGTTGTGACTAGAATGAGGCATCAGGGGTGCTCCGGGAATGTTGGTATTTTTTCGTGCTCCTCCAGGAAATGAACACTAAGAATTTAATGAACAGGTATTATTAAGGGAA